CCCAAATTAAGTAAAGAAAATAAAGAGTATTGTGAAGGCAAGGTAACACTGGCAGAATGCTATCAGGCAGTAAAGGAAATGAAATGGAACAAATCACCAGGCAATGACGGCTTCTCGACAGAGTTTTATTTCACGTTCTGGCCAACTTTAGGGAAAACAATAGTGGAGGCTTTTAATGAAAGTTTTGAAACAAAAATGTTATCAAACTCACAGAGACAGGGGGTAATTACACTAATTGAGAAAGAAGGCAAAGACCCTTTGTACATGAAAAACTATAGGCCAATTACTCTCTTAAATGTAGATTATAAAATATTGTCGAAAGTATTAGCTACAAGGGTAAAGGAGGTATTGGAAGATATTATTCATTACGATCAGGTGGGCTATGTTAAAGATCGGAATATTGGGGAAGCGGTTCGGTTAATTGATGATACATTCTTTCAGTCCTTGTATCAGCCTGTAGGCTTTTTAATTGCCGTAGATTTTGAAAAGGCTTTCGATTGCATTTCCCATAAACTTTTATTTAAAGCTTTGGAACAGTTTGGGTTTGGTAAAGTTTTGTGTTCTTGGGTTAAAACCCTTTACACTAATGTTAGCAGTTGCGTGATGAACGGGGGACACTCAACAGGATATTTTGGAATTAATAGAGGGGTAAGACAAGGTGACCCCCTATCTCCATATTTATTTGTAATAGTTATCGAATTACTAGCTCGTTATATTAGGAAAGATGAGAACATTAAAGGGGTAGGATTCGGGAATAAAGAAATAAAGCAAGTTTTGTATGCCGATGATATTACATTGTTTTTAAAAGATATGGATTCAATTAATAAAGTGAAGAAAGTTTTCAAAAACTTTGAAAAATTAAGTGGGTTGAAGATAAATATGGATAAGACAAATTTTATGTGGTTAGGAGAGGAAAGTGATAGGCCGGGTTTACCTTTTTTTGGACATAGGGTACAACATATAAAGATCCTAGGGGTATATTTCGCACGTCATTCCAAAATAAAAGATGATTTGAACTATAAGGAAATTTTGAGCAAAATCAAAAGACTAATCGGTTGGTGGAAGCAACGAGATTTAACGATGTTTGGCAAAATTAAATTGTTGAAGATATATGTATTTTCAAAACTAAATTATGTTTCGTCTCTTATGACAGTCCCACAAAACTTTTTTGAAGAAATCGAAAAGATTTCTTTTAATTTTATTTGGGGAGGGAGAGACAGAATAAAACGGAAAATATTATATCAAGATTATTGCGCTGGGGGACTCAGAGTAACGAATTTTAAGATATTTATCAAGACTCAGAGAATAATGTGGATCAAACGGTTGCTATATGGAGAAAAGTATTCAGGTTGGAAAGTAACCTTTGACCACTTTTTCAGATCACTGGGGGGTCGAATTATATTTCTTTGTAATTATGATATAAATAAAATGGACTTGAAGGGTATACCATCTTTTTATAAAGACATGTTGAAGGCATGGCAAGAATTAGATAAATGCAGACACTTTGGAGAAAATAAGAATAATCCGATTATATTTAGCAACAAGTGTATTTGTCTCAGCAATAAAACATTTTTTGATGTCGAACTATTTCAGAAAGGTATACTTCAAGCATCAGATATAATTGTCAGAGGTCATTTAAAACCGATCTTACATTTTTTAAATTTGGGTTTTGAAACTAAAAGCTTGCTTAGAATTCAAAAGATCTTTTCAGCAATTAGAAACGATTGGATACAAAGTGATTTTATGGAAGTGGACACTGAAAATTTTGAAATAGAATTGATGATATTTGGACGTTTACAGAAACTATGTGATATAAAATCCAGGCGGTTATATGATTACTTCATTGAAGACCTTCAAAAAGAGTATACATTACATGTTACAGATGGCAACTGTCAATTTGATCTTGGAATGACGGAGTTGAAAGAAACATTCACAAGGATGAAATGTGCAATGCTTTGTAATAAACATAGAGAGTTTCAATACAAACAATTACAAGGGGCTGTATATACGAAAAGAGAGCTCTTTAAATTTGGTTTTGAGTCAGACCATTTTTGTTCCTTTTGTAGACTAGAAGTAGAGACATACCAACATTTATTTTTAGATTGTCTTAAAGTTAAAATATTATGGCAGGAGGTAATTCAAAAGTTACATTTAATCGAAATTGACATTGATGATTGGAAACCCATTTTTATGGGAATATCCGGCAATACTGCGAGAATATTTGTAATAAATTGTATCATATTTTTAGTAAAGTATATCATTTTTATTTCTAGAAAAGAAGGAACTTTGCCATCTGTACAGAAAACAGTACATATGCTTAAAAATTACAGAGACGAGGAATACAAAATAGCATTCAAAAAGGGGAAACTGGGGATGCACTTACAGAAATGGGAACAAATCGATGCATTTTTACTTTAATGGATGTGGGTATTATTATTATTATTAGTATTATTAATTCTCTCTCGTGTACAGGTGGACAAACCGGAACAGGTTGCATGCAGTGTGTGTGTCGGCGTGAAGGGGGTATGATGAGATGGGTGGGCTAGGGGGGGGGGGGGGGTTAAGAGTTTGTGTGGTGTGAGTTGAGGGAACAGGTTGCATGCAGTGTGTGTTTGTGTTTGTATGTGTGTGTATGTGTGTTTATGTGTGTGAAAGGTGGTGTGGGTGGGCTAGAGGGGCGGGGGGGGGGTGTGAGAGTGTTGTGATAGGATGGTAATATCTAATTTTAAACCTTCCTCTACTGTTATTTTGATTATTCACTGTTACATGCAAGACTTTTTTTTTTTTCTATGTTCATTGATTGATGTAACTCATGAAGTGTCTTGTATCAAAGATCTTGTTTTATATTGCTTATTTTGATAATTTCTTGTTATGTGAATTTCTTGTTATGTGAAATTGTGAGGAAGGAAATAAAATATCATTTAAAAAAAAAAAAAATCTACACTTTAAACCTTCCTCTACTGTTATTTTGATTATACACTGTTACATGCAAGAATTTTTTTTTTCTATGTTCATTGATTGATGTAACTCATGAAGTGTCTTGTATCAAAGATCTTGTTTTATATTGCTTATTTTGATAATTTCTTGTTATGTGAATTTCTTGTTATGTGAAATTATGAGGAAGGAAATAAAATATCATTTAAAAAAAAAAAAAAATACAGTGTAATGGTTGATTTAGATGATTTATGTTTGCCATTGGGCCTAAATTTAAAAAAAAATGTTGTATTGCCCTTTGCGACCGAACAAAAAGTTTTGAAATCTACGGTTGACTTTCTATTTTTTGTGCCGTTTTTTAGAGAAAAAAAATATTAAAGCATTAAAAACTGAGAAATATCGGCCCAAAGACAGAAAAGGAGAACAAAAATAAAAGATTTCCGACCGACCGACCCATGTTTTGGCACCTAAAGGGCAACACAACATTTTTTTGTAGACCTTATCGCCAAATTTACCCCAAATTTTATTGATGATCTATGTTTTAAAAAATAAATAAATGTGTATTGTTACTTCACTATGAACATGAATGACAAAGAAAGCGGACAAAATATACAGTTCCTCAAGTAGACAAAGTAACATCCCTTCACTGCTATTATGTAAAAAGGTGAATATGCATGTTAACCTGTTCTACACATTTGTACATAATAGCAGTGAAGGGATGTTCCTTTGTCTACCCGAGGGACTTTATATTTTGTCCGCTTTCTTTGTCAGCCATTTTCATAGTGTTTAGGACTACATTATAACGTCTATAGAAAGCCCGACCAAACTAACCTCTATAGAGAACACAAAGAGCAGGTTTCCTCCGATAATCAATTCCATGAGAAGCATCATTTCAAGGGAACAAACAAGTGTGGTCTTTATAGACAGGTGGTATTTGTGTACAGGGGGTCGTTAATGCAGGTTTGAGGTTTTTTTCAGCTAAAACACGTATTGATTGGTAGTGCAAACTAGCTGGAGCAAGCGAAAAACTTTAAAATAGGATACAGGGGAACATTTTAGGGGAAACGATACACTCTCCCCCAACGACAATGCCATGGCCTATACGTGTATAATTATGTTAAAGACAAAACCATACATGGTTTGCTATTTCCTTACCGAATTTATCAATAAAGCAACACAAAATGAATTTGTGTGCAAACAAAAATTAGTACGCATGATTGCTTTTTTTCTTCTTCAGAAAGTGATTATTTGAATTGAAATTCTTGGCCATTCGTGATAAAATTTAGTTCGTTATTATTTTGTTGTCGGTAGCCTATCGTTAGCGTGACTAAAATAAGCCTACCCATTGACAAGATAGAGAGATTGATTTTATCTTTCATTAGATTGAGTCAACCAACAATGGGGGAGGAGGAGGGGGGGGGGGGTGCTTTGGGTGGTTCCATCGTATAGTCCCTTACGTTTCAGTCAGTACACCCGCCTTGGAATTTGAATGAGGAAATACTGAATGATGAGGATAAAGAGAAGGTATTGTATTCCAACCACTGGATGCGTCATGAAGAATTTGAATTAGCAACGAGAAAAGTACAATGCTCTTTCTTTGCCCAAGAAAATGAAATAGGCAAATATAACAAAGGAGTAAGGCAGAGGAGCCAAGAGAAATATTGAACGTCTAATGTGAATAGATTGTGAAATAACCAAGCCAAATAGAAACAAAAATCTCTTACGACTTGTACCATAATCGATGTGAAATGTAAACCTTAATAGCCCGCCTCCTTTTTAAGCCATTCACTCTTCACAATTCCGTCGGTCTGTGTCTGTGGAATGTAATGTTTAAGACATTTTGGTAAAAATCACTACAATAAGTTAACCTCATGCCTGAATACATCTCAAACTATCACATCATAACATGACAAAGTATATAGAAGAAAGGGGAAGTAAATGACATGCGGAGCCTTGTAACAATAAGTACAACTCAGGCTAGGCACACATCTCCAATTAAATTACTGAAGCGCGAAATTAACAAAGGATTAAGTTGACAAAGGCATTTTTTCTTCAGGTCGTTGGAATCCAATGATGAGAAATCATGTAAAGACGACCCGCACCATGTGCACAACAAGAAATCATGCTTGTGTAGTAAACAATGAAAGCAGTAAGAACGCCGTCGGACTTTCTTTCCCCACCACTCCATCCCAAGGACAGGAACCAGTCTTTAAACTGTGTCTGAATGCACTTTATATTATCAGAAGTAGAGAAGCATCATATTGCCTTGTGAATTCAGACAGATTGTTACACTGTAATTATGGCTGATAACACAGAAATTGAGGTAAATAACTGTAGAAAATAAGATGGGAAATTATCCTGGTTCTTTCATTGCCTGTTGTCCCACGCAGATATTTCAGATAAGGTAGTTCGTGTATTTGAGGCCCATTTTCAGTTGGGTATTGAATGATTTGTTTGGTAGCTTTGATTATTTATGTGTGTCTGAATGTTTGAATAAGCTCAGAAGTTTATGAATGTTCCGCCTAATATAATGTCTGATTGCTAAACAGTTTCAGTCAGTTTGTAAAACATATTAATCAGAACATTAATCAGAATATTAACAATTTCTTAGATGGCTTGTTTTGGTAGTGGGGGGGGGGGGGGTCTTTGGAAATTGTTATTGTTATTGTAATTGTTGTATAATGATTTTGTGCATTTAATAGATATTTCATGATTATAGTTCGATCGATCAGAGAATACCACATTATACAAAGACATTGTGCAGTGAGATCATGTTCGTGGCGCCACACTGAGATCAGAGAATACCACATTATACAATGACATTGTGCAGTGAGATCATGTTCGTGGCGCCATGGATCAGAGAATACCACATTATACAATGACATTGTGCATTAAGATCATATTTTATATATATATGAACCTTTTGGGGGAAATGTTAGTACACTTTATGGTTCAATCCTGCACCTTTAGGGGTGCAAACCGATGCAACAATAGCAGCACCTTTAGGGGTTAAATCCTGCACCCTTACGGAGGGTGCCAAAATGCACCTTTTAGGAGACATGTTAGTACCCTTAATGGTTCAATCCTGCTCCTTTAGGGGTGCAAACCGATGCAATAACAGCACCTTATTAAAGGGGTTCAATCCTGCACCCTTTAAAAGGTGCAATCCTGCACCCATCATCGAGGAATACTCGTGACATTTGCTCGTACACATATACATATTAAACATGCATGATGTTTCTTGGTTAGTAATCATATAATCAATATATATATTGCTAAAACGTGAATGTAATTGTAACATGATCAGACAAAATAATCTATTGGTTAATGATTGCCGAAGGAAAATACAAATCACAAAATTGATGTGCATTGTCATAATTTGCTTAACAAATCATGATAAATGTATTTTTATGTGAACACGTGGAAAGTAATCATGAATATGCATGCAATATGCAAACTTTTATTTTGCACCTTTTCGGGTTGTTAGGGTTCATTTTTGTGGGAAGGGTACAAAATCTTATATTGCACCCTTTTTTGAACCCCTTTTCCTTTAATAGGGTTCATTTTTATGTAAAGGGTGCAAACTCTTATTTTGCACCCTTTTTTGCACCCTTTTTTCTTAGAGTGTACTGTGTAGTCAGATCATGTTTACAGCACCACAAATGAGAGAATACCACATTTGTTGCTATGTCGGGCAATTAAAGCCTCCTGCAAAGTTTTTGGTTGCGTCATCCAAGAGCAACGATTTGTACTATTGTACTATTGGTAAACATTATTTTGAATGTTTGTGTACAGAGCTGACAATCAATACGGAAGTGATATACCGGGAGTGCACCGGAACTCTCTATTAAGAGATTCCTCCCGTTAAGCTTCCTACTAGAAATATCTTTAATTTGTTTACAGGTCTATCAGAAAAGTTTAAGCGCATGACCAGATTTTGTTTTTTCAGTCAACATTGTACTGCTTGTCCTCCTACAGGGTGATACGGGTGGAGCACTCGAGATGCAAGAGCCTACCTCTCGTCCCCCGCCTACCATTGATGATTTAGAAATACCACCACCTCCTCCAGAGGAAGCTACACCGCCAACACCACCTCCTGAAGAAGATGGACCCCCTCCACCACCCCAGGATGAGGACACACCCTCACAGACAGACCCCAACCCTCCATTAACACCCGGTGATGCGATGATACTTGAAGGTATATACAGGGAAAGGGTCATCAATTCTGTAGAACAAAATCAGAAAAACAAACTAACAAACAAACACACACAACATAAAACACGTTTTAAATGTTTATACATGTACCTTGAGTGTATGTAAAAAAATTGCACAAAGCGTGAATTGAATTCAATGTTTGCAGTATAATATTCTACGTTGGTTCTATTGACGACTGCAGTGTTTAGTATCAAAACATTGAATGCGACTCATTATTTGACATTCTGAATAATCAAAGTATTTAATTCATAAACGTCCCCTTTTAGAAAGGCGACAGGCAGTAATGATGAAAAATAGATATGGCTATCAAATCTCAAGATCTTGAAAAATAGCCATCTTGAAAAATTGTCATGCAAATTAAACCACTATCCCGGTGTTTATAGCACAATGGTCACTGCTACATCCTATGCTCATCTAGTGTATTTCCTTATTGCCATCTTCCAACTGCTCTACCCTTCCATTCACAATTCACACAAAAACCATTTGCAATCATGATTATTTTTACACACCAGCTGAACCAGACCCTGAAGCACCCGACGAGCCACAAGATGCTGGTATCCTAGATGCACCGGAGGTTACCGATACGGGTAGCGCGGTGATAGATCACCCTCCACCGAATGACTGTGGATCACCTCTTCCTCCATACAACAACGACAGCGGTGTGGATGTTCCTTCGACGTCTACTGCTGATGTATCGGAGCTGGAAGGGAAGGACCTGCAAAGGGAGTTTGATGAGATCCAAATAGAAGGTATGATCGCAACTACTTTTGAAAATCGACCTAGATGGTCCTGGCTAGTGCGTTACCTATCGAAATGTGCGAAAATTACAAAGAAACATTACGTAATCCGAACATGATTTTTATGGGATTCTTAAAAGGTATAGCAATCCCCACTCAATTGATTTTCAAAAGTAGTTACGATCATGTTTAAAAAACAATTAGCTATGTATTTGCTTCAGGATCACGACTCCTTAAAGGTAATACAAAGTTTTGGGAAATTTTGAAAATTGAGAGGATAGTGATTCTTTACAATTTTGATATATTTGGATGCCCCTGTGGATGTTTTATAAGCACTAGAAAATTTAGCCCCTAAAACACTTCTGCTTTCGCGAAAAATGGAGTATAAAAATTTACCGGTGCTCCCGGTAAATTTTGATGAATTTCAAATAACGCCTACGGCCGTACAATGGTAGCTGCGACCATGAAAATTTCAGAATATGTAGTTGTGATATATAATTTCCAAACGGGAATAGCTAATCGGTAGATTTTAGTCACGAAACATTGTTTCATAGCTTAGTTAATATATTGACCTTGAGAGGGAGCTATACAACATAAAGAGTTAATTATTTACAATTTCATAACTTTAGACTCGATTTCAACCGCGACAACGATCACTGAATATTGTAGGATCTCATATGCCTCAAATATGTTCAATTGAACCAAATTCATGACCCCATACCAAAACTTTGTAATACCTTTAAATGGCTATGGCCCTAATTCACAAAGGAGGTTTGTCGACAAACCTAGGTTTATGTGCGTCATATGACACGTTTTGACGCGTTTTTACAAACCTTGTCAGGCCATTGTGTCGGAGCCTCGGAGGACAATGACTTTTCCAGCTACTCCCGTAATAAATCGTATCTTACTACACATACTCTAGTACTGGCATTAAGCAATCGTATCTTGTTATGGTGGATCCTACACGCGCCCCCGGTGACCTTTGCTTCGGACCTTATTTTGTTTATTTCGTCGAAGCTATAGGGTTAGGATAAGTCTTGCAGATGTGTTTAAGGTTATGTTTCAAGTTTCGTTCGTTAGAAGTGCTTGGTACAGAGTCGAAGTTATGAATTCATTTAATGTAGGATTTTGAACGCGGTACATTTGTGGCCATGCAGGATATCGTGAAATGCTATCCTCTGTTTTAAACTCCTTTTTCGTATCCCTCACCAGGCACTGAGGATGATATTGAGAGCTCCAACGGTATCCACAACGCCAGCACACTCCCGTCAAAGCGACCGATGGCGGAGGCGACGACACCAAACACTAACCAGCACTCAAAGGTTACAGGGTACATCGAGATGTCCCCCGAAGAAACGAAAGCGGAAATGAAACGGGTTAAGACGTACAGACGGGAATCCATCATGTGGGTCACGATCTTCTTTCTCATCGCCGGAGCCATTGCTGTCATTTTCTACTTTGCATACAACATCACACAACTATCTGACGGTGAGAAAGGGATAAGTTTATGTAATTGAAAATACGTTTGTCCAAAGACATCCATCTTTGGATGGGATGGTCGATTACAAATACGTGCAGAAATGCACATTAATTAAAAGCAACAACCACACTAACAAAACAACACATTAACAATTCCTTTAGCAATTTCTTTAGCAGTCATTAATGAAGCGATTATATATGTGCCATTTGTTTTATTACTCACCATATTAAATTGCAAAATAATGATTACGAACTTCAATCAAATTTTTTGATAATCTTAACTGACATTTTTAATACTATCCTTTCATCCCATTCACTTTTTCAGCTTCACTTCCCGGTAAGTAGAATTTTGTATTGCCTCACTTCAAATTAACTCGATTTCATTTCGTCATTATTTCCTAAGCTTTCTCAACTGTCTTAATTAAATTCTATCATTCGAACTTATTAACTTTAATATATTGAAAACACCATATTGATGACGAGAGTTTTAAATGAGGTTTAGTGGTATTGTTTCCCTAACCTGTTTCTCTTCCAATTGAATCTCGAGACGATATTTCTTCCCCAGAAAAGTATAATGTAGGAGATAAAATAGGGAGATTGTCTGGGTGCGTTTATGCTTGATTTTGAAGGTAGAATGAGCGATCTGAAACGCTCATCGTAAACGCTCATCGTAATCGCAGTTCCACGGTGAACTGTTTATGCTCACTTCTCTGGCTCCTCCAGGCAAATCTGGCTGGGTGGCCTTGCATTGCAGCTGGATTCGCAAACCTGCACTGCGCATGCTACGTAGACCCACTAGAGGTCAATGCGTTGACCCCATTTAAACGCGTTTACAAATGATTGTGCGTTTATGCTTCCCAGAATCGCCGATTTTGCAGCATCGCCGATCGTAAACGCACCTTTTTGTGAGTTTACGATCGGCGATCGTGATCGCCGTTTTTTGGTGATTCTACAAAAATGAGAAAGGACGCAACCGTGTTTTGAACTAAACGCGTAACAGATGCCTGATTCTGACCAGAACAAGTTGAGCATAAACATACCCTTAGTTTCAAGTTGACACTTTGACACATTTCCCTGTAGCTTATTTGAATGATTATTCAATCTTCTCCTTTAGATGGAGAGTTCAGAATCCGAGCAGTCATGATTCTAGATTATCCCTGGGAAGAGGAATTTGCGATTTCGTCGAGTTCAGAACACATGATGTTAGCATATAATATAACAGATGGAGTAAGTATCTCTTACACTGAGTATTGACTTTGATAATGTACATTATTTTGCTGATATATTACGTGGTATACTAACTACTACTGTATATTCCTGTGCCTGTACTCATTACGATTTTCAAAAAGAAGTAAAAAGTGATATATAGGTTTTTTAAAAACAGGGCCATATGAGTTGGACATTTTTTTCACAATTATCGAGATGTCAGAACATGTATTTGTTTGAATTTTATTGAGTTGCTATTGTTAAAATACGATTAAATAACATATTTTATTGAAAGAAAAAAGTGTACAGTTTTATATCCCCCGTACTAATTCAATTAAACCTGACCATGGGTCTAAAATCACGTTAAACAAAACAAAAGCTTAGACCTCAGACTAACTTCTTTATCAAATCCGATTTTGTACAAGAATATATAACTCGGCTCCCGGTTTAAAGTTTTAGTACAACACGGGTCTCCGAATCCTCGACTTCATTCGAGGATATTTCTTATATTAACAGATGAGATAATGGTTTTGTACTTGTGCGAACTATTCATTTCGTATCTCATTCCTTTATGATTACACCTGGACCAAATTGCCTTTCTTTCTCGTGTGGTAAGGGTATGGTCAGCTCTTGTCAGCTCTGTTACAAAATCAATAAAGGACAATTTAACCCTTTTGTTTCACTTCTCAGATAAATTCAACGTATACGGATCAGAGCTCGGCATTCAAAGACGTCTTCCTCGAAGTAGATATGTTTTCTTTTTCGTAAGTATAAACAAACTAGCATTTATGGGCAAACATGCACATATATTCATATATCTTTTGTTTTAAACTATTATATTTCTAAAGGTTATGTACAATCCGCACATTCTGAAAAATATCAAATTATTAACTTAGTGAAATGAACCATTTTCCTCTTGGACAATATAATCTTGACGCTTTTTAGGCGATAGTATTCGGAAGAACCTGGTCTTAGTCTTTGGTTTCGTTCTGATTTGACATATTTGTTTCCACATTGAATTCCTTGTTAACATCTTGCAAGTTACAATGACATAATCAACTACAGATAACAATAAAATTAAATCTTATACCAAAGATTGTTTACTTATGTATTATACTTCACAAATGCATATTATTTTATCCCATTATCTGCCCATGACCCCATACATCCAGTGTGAATAATGATTGAAATGTTTTGCGGAACACAAATCATTGACGTATTTCTCATGTTTCTGTCAACGTTGCCATAGAGATGAAAATGGTATCATCCGGGTATCGTTCCAGTGCTTGTTCAGCGGCACTCCTTCAGATGACATAGGAACTAGGCCTGCCTTCAGCGATCTCTTCATCGCCGAGTTGGAGGACGGATTCGACAACGACAACTTCTACAACCTCACGTTAAAAGACGATGAACCGGTCAATGTTGTCCGATTCACAACATCATGATTCTATAGAACCGATGTGCCTTGCAAATTGTATTACTTCACTTAAAGGCGGGACTGCACTATACTTATAGCTACTTGCGCCCTCTATATAGCAAACAATGCCTAAGCGATACCCGTTGGTCCCCATGGTCCCCCTTTTTTTATGTTAATTGAGAGCTGATTTGATGAGATAACCACCTGATAGTGACCATGCACGGAGGTCTAATCCCTCCTGGCCAAACTAGTGCAGATGGGCTTTAAAGAAAGAGATATCATATTATTTGGCACCAACGTTCTACCGGACCGGTATTTCATTCCACCGAGATCGGAGGGGTGTCCGACCCCTTCTTTGTAGCATGTCTGCATTTGCTTCCATCGTGTATTTCCTTTTACAATTCATTGAGAGAGGATTGGGCACCATGCACAGATAGTCACATCTTGGCCTTGTCGTAGGCCCAGTCGTAGGCCTCTTATACACAGTTAAGAGCTGGGTTTGATAGCAGTTGATTGCGATTTCTTACTTTGTGTTTTCAGTTATTTTTGTTTTGTTATGATGTGAAAAAACGTTATGTAATATTACGTCAGACGAAAATGCTTTAATTATGGAGTTTATGTTTATATTAAAAAAACATACACATATCATCAGGGCTGCATGTAAAACTGAAAGAATAACTGATTATAATAAATAACGCTACTGTATGAAGAATGTGTCTATATATTCCCAGGAATATATAGACATTTCACATAATATATTTCATTTGTTTATATTTAGCATTTTAGTGTCGTAGTGCATCCTAGTTCAAACATATATTCTGGCGAATGCACTGGTTAGAGTTGGGAATCACATGCTTTTGTCTGATTTCGAGTAAAGGAACTTTATTAGGCCTAAACGGGCAATAACACATTAGACAATAAATTCGTAATATAAGTATATCTATGCAATTGTGATACATAAATATGTCAGCAATATTATTACCATTTAAGTCAGTATTTACTTCAAAACTATTTCACATAGATCAACTCGGTCAATTTAAAAAAAAAAAAAGTTCAAGAAATTCAGACGTTTTCCTGGCATGACCAGAAAATGAAATGAAATTATTGAAATAAAAAAAGTTGGGACTCGAAAATATGAATGCAAGAATTATTCAAAAATATCGAAATTTTTTATGGTATTAAGGCCCCTTTTTCTCTTCCAACAGTTTTATGTTCTGAATATACATGTAGATCAGCATGTTGTCTATTTTTAGTTCAGATATCAGTTAATGTGAAAGGCAATTATATTTCGCCGTCCATATTTTTTCACTTTGTTTAATTTCTATTATTTATTGAAGAAGAAAAACTGTTTTTGATTTTTTTTTCTTCTTTTCAATTGCATTAAATGCATTCACGATAACCATTATTGTATATATGTTCATTTTCTTAGTATTTCGTAACATAAAGGATATAAATTAATAGGGTAAAAAGGATATAAATCTGATATTTTCACGTATTTTTCACTTCCCACTCCTCTATTTATCACACCCTCTCTTCTCATCTCCTATCCTTCTGAACCAGTCCTTCTCAACTGGCGGCGCGCGCGCCACTTGTGGCGCTTGGGGTCAGTCGGAGTGGCGCGCGACTGTTGCAAAAAACAAACAAAAAAATATTATATTTTAAAATTATTAAGAACTCAACAAAATCAAGAAGTTGCAGTCGAAGTTGAGCCCAAAATGTCTGCAAGAAGAAATTGGAATTTATTGTTTATTACTATTTTATACGACTCTAAACGAGCTCTAAACTGACTCTAAACAACAATAATCGTACGATATGTGCTACCCGCGGTGTGCTACCAAATTTAACATTGCCGATCTCTGGAGACATTTTGTTTTAGTTTGTAGGATTTGCATTTAATTTTGACCTTTCTCGTGTTTATTGCACAAAAATAACTAAATATAAATTTACCACCAGTATAATTGTACCCAAGAATTGTACCAATTTTTTTCACATCAATATGAAATTATGACTGATATATTTTTGAACAAATATGTGTTAAAAGTGCCGTATCTAGGCTTTTGGAAAGCCCTAAATTCCACAAGCATCAGGGGGCTCTTTCCCCCTGCAACCCCGGTGGGGTTTTGCAACTGGACCGCGCCCGTTGTCGGCTTGGTCGCTACGCTACCTCGCAGTACAGTCAAACATACATATTGGCACTTCAACTACAAATTCTGTTCGTTGTGGCACTTCTAATAAACTAGTTGAGAAGGCCTGTTCTAAACCTTATCTCTTTCTTCATTATATCTCTTGAGTGACCTCCTTTTAGCCGTATACGAACGTACAACCACCCGAAAAGTATATGAGTAACTAAATCTTGCGTGTTTTTTCTTTTTTGCAGAGGTGTTGATAAGCCAGATGCAGAGAGAGAGAGAGAAAGGAAGAGAGAAAAGGAGAGAGGAAGAGAGAAAGGAAGAGAGAGAGAGAGAGAGAGGAAGATGGAGAGGGAGAGAGAGGGGAGAGAGTGGGAGGTAAAGAGGGAGAGAGAGGGGGAACGGGTAGGAGAAACGGGACGATAATGAGAAAGTGCAGAGAGATAAAAAAAAAAAAAAAATTAAAAAAAAAAAACCCCGCCTCAGGCATAACATATTATAATTACATAAAGGCAAAGAAGTCGAGAAAAGGTAAAGAGACTAAATAAGTCTGGAAACAAATAAAATAAATTGGGTAATCTGTCTACGGAGATCGAAGCAGATAAAAGTACAGATATTTTGATAACAGAAATATAGGAAGATGTATATATGTATACATGTATATGTACAGAGAGCAAAAGCAATCGAAAAATTATTGTATTCGTGAATCTCTTCATGTTTCTGCCGAAAAAGACATTTGCCATAGGATTCTTTGCTGTACTCAAATCATGTAAATTGACACTTATGTTTTAAGAGTGTAAAAATTCCATTAATAGACAGTTTGCAAAGTCATTATCTTGCCTTTTCCTGTTTTGACAAGATTGAATATCATCGGATATCGCGAGTCAAAACACGCGTGTATAAAAAACAAACTATTCAGGATTATGAATGAACTTTGCCCGGCGTGAGCGAATAACAATGTCTGAATGCAAGGCACGAGAACAAAACAAATCGGAGGAATATCAGTAAATATAGTACATTTAAACAAAACCCAGACTGACAATAAATTTTCCTTTCTCTTTCAAGTGCAGCTCATTTTCTAGACAAATTCCACGGCTAGAAACCAGACGTATTTTCGAGATTTCAACATACAGTGCAATTAAAAAACACCCTTCAAGAGTCACATGTTTTGACCACATCAACGTGAATCATGTGATTTTTTGTAATGCAAATGAAATTTATTATCAGCTACTTATTTTCGAGTGAATTGATTTCAGATGAATGTGAGTGCTACTCGTGTAAGTGATTTTGAAGCTATCTACTTAAAGGTTATTCTGATTGGTCGATGTGTTATGAATAGGAACCATTATTATTATTCATTTTAAAGAGGTTTTAAAACCTTCAGAGTTACATCATATTGACTAAAACTTGCTGGAATCGCAAAAATAAATGAAAGCACTAAAAATTTGGAAAGATGTGAAACAAAAACGGGTCCTATTATGATCTACTAACACTTCAATAGCAACGCGTTGGTGAAGTACAGTTAACCCTGAGTATATCGACGCAACCGAAACAGAAACAGGACATTTCAACTGCATTATTCTTCCACATGAGAATTAAAAAAGAATGACAATTGCTCACAAATAGTATCGCGTTTACCAGTACTCAACTATCTCTTTGAAATGCAGGCCATGGATTAGATGATGAAGAAGTATGTATGACGTCAGATGTGTTTCCGATTTTCGTACGACCCCATATTAGTCCACCACCACTAAACCGGCTCTTTACCGACCTTAGCCGACCGATTTTTGGCCATGAGAGGTCATGTAATGGTTTGTTCGGCCTGTAATCGGTCTGTTGTCGGCCTCTCGGAGGTGCGGAGTCATTGAAGTTATTATGATGTCAGAGTATTTTTCGGCTTCAAAGTGTACGATCAGTCAAGGCAAGGGGCTACGGTTTGGTGCGTCATGACAATAGGATCCCAGTCGGTGCATTAAAGTATCCGTGCTTCAGGGCCTATAGTCACGCCCAACTTCATTGATATTCCTATGCAAACCACTCGTGTGCATTTGGTCCGAGAAGCCCCCGACATTCCAAACTACATGCAGTACACAATACAAAATTCAGAACGGTCTTTATAACAAAAAAGGTTTATTGGGTGGGTGTGCAGAGTTATTACTATGTAGGATCTACAGTATTCAGTTTACAGTTTAAGCATGGTAAATTACTGTGTTTTCGTGCCATATTGCCTTTTACGATTCAACCGTCCGTGACCAAAATGGCAATTTGAAATATATTAGACAAATATTCAATAGATGTGGGAGAACATTTGAAAGCTATATAGGCAAGGGAATCAAAGTACACCGCACCTTCAGCCTACAAGAAGTCGGACAAACTATATACGACTGAGTCAGATTTACAGCAGGGTAAGTTTTGTTGCACATCATGTTTATTCATATTTGTATCATCTTCACATAGTTTTCAAACAGTTTTGAGTAACTTCAAAATTACAGAAAATATTAAAAACTATATACATTCTACTTTCTCACAATCCATGACAAAGTACCGGTGAAAGTTCAACTACGTTTTTTAAAAGGATAATATGAATGTAAAAGGTGCGTTGCTGGTGAGTCATATTCTATTTACACACATTACAGTAAGAATAATGTGCGTCGTTTTAGGCCACATACAAGAAAGGGCCAAGTGCTATAAAACTATGTCAACGTGGACTTTAAGCTTTCCCTACAACAGAAGGATTAAGCGCAAGTGTTGACTTAAAGTTCTTGTATACTTCTTTGGTGAATGGGAAGTGGCATCTTCGTTAAGAATGGCTTCTTTATGTTCTTTGAGTTCTTGAGGAAATATGCACACTGTGCACCGACTAAGTCAGGAGATTTGCTACAACAGTGTAATTTCGTTGGTATTTAGGCCCACTAAGCATGGTTGCTTTTATTACATTATACATCATTATATTTTTGTTCACCTAGAAATGTCATTGGTGTGGATGCTATGCAAGGAGACCTGGAATGTGCTTGAAATATTTGCCGAAAAGTAGACTACAACACCAAATAATATAGCCATGAATGTAAGTACGATATTCATTAAATTGAATCTTGCTTTGTCTATTTTGAATGCATTGGGTATGATAGCTCCAAGTTGTTCTTATAATAAGTCGAAATGAATTCGGAATTGAAGGTCAAGGATAATATTTCCTTTATTGATAGCTCAATGTATTGTCCTACATATTAGCATGTATACAAGTTGATAAACTGGGGATGGAATCATATTGGAGTGGGCGGGGGCGGGGAGGGGGTAAATTATAACTTCAAATTGGATTAATGCTTAGGCCTTTTTGAGTATCACATCATTCATGTGCAAGTGCTACTTTGAAATATCAATGAATTTATCTAAATTGGTTTAAAATAACAGTGGATATTTTACACCCTAAAGTACTAATTTTGTGTCAGTGGCAGCGAAATTCAAAGAGCTACAATGTCAACGAGGCTTTCGTGCTGGACGACACCTTTCCAAAGGGCAAGCAAGAGGAAACCATCAGGGAAAGATCGGATTCACAGTCGAGTGTCGAGGACGACGATGACCACGTGGCTAACCCGAGAGGGTTACCTACCCAAGCCGAGAGCATCGACTTCGGATTGGACGACGATGTCAATAAGGGAAAACCATTCCGCGATTGCTTGATGGGGTGTTTCGTCATCTTCGTCGTGCTGGCCATGACGACCTGTGTAGCGATTCTACTCTATTTTATTCTGATCAATACGGGTAAGCTTACTGAGCACTTCTTACAAAATCGTGTGATAGTGTTAACGTAATGATTATGGTGGAAAGAAGGGGATACACAAAAATCAACAGCCAGAGAGAGAGAGAGAGAGAGGGGTCAGAGAGGAAATAGAGAGAGGGGGAGATCGATATAGAGAAGTTGGACCAGAGAGAGAGAGAGAGAGAGAAAGAGAGAAATTGATAGAAATAAAGAGGAAGATAGTGAGAAGAAGAAGAGGAAGAAGAAGGAAGAAGAAAGAAGAGTGCAAGAGTAATACCAAGAACTGTACACGATATTGTTCTCAATTGCAAAAAGGGTGGCTATCCTGTAGTTACTACGCATTACTTGAACGAACTTATAAAAGGTCCGACCCTTGATCCTGAGACTCAGGCCCATAACGATACGTTTGATAATAATCCATGTATGTGGACATAGATATTATAAATGGTATTTCATACTCATCTTTGGCAAAAGTCGCTTTAAACATATATGTATTTGTCATGTTTTTTTCTTCTTCTAAATGCGTTCGACGGATTTTATTTAGAAGTAAAGACGGAAATGTTCACAATGGACAAATCTTCTTAACAGAACAATGAAAGGAGATTTAGACTTAAAGCGTTTTGCAGTTAATCCGCAATACTTCTGTAGGCATTTTCAAGTTCACTTTCCTTTGCGCATTCTTTGTATATAGTTAGGGCAAAGCCCATTAGCTCTTGGTCTATTCTAAAGGATTTGAAGCGATATGAATTAAGAACAATATTGTTTGCGTAATCTATTCATTTACGATCGCTCAATATTCTAGTGATTGTTTATAAAAATGTTCGCTTTTAACGATTATTGCTTTAAAAATGTGGATACACAGGATAAAATGAGAAACCTGTGCAAAACCACTTATTTATTTTAATTTATTTCTCTACTTTCTACAGTATTTGTCGAAAGTGACACCAAGACTACTGTCTCAGGTAAGCATAAATAAATCTTAATTATTTCACCTATATTCATAGCAGAAGTTTGATTGACGTGTGATGTTATCCCAGAATAAGACAGTATTTAGGATTTATGATAAAAAGAATGATTACATTTATATATTAATATATTAAACAAGAATATTTTTGTTCGTACTATATAAATATACTTCCATATCACTCTTAATTTTGTTTTTGGATATCACTTTCTTCGAGTTAATACAATGTAATATTTACTGATTGACGTAAGAATGTTGCTTCGCATTATATTATGATTGTAATGGTGAAGAAGATTGGGATATATATATACGATTCATTATTGTCCTTTGGAAATTTTCAAACACAATCCCGGCTACTCCACAGGTGACAAAATGTCCGCGAGACAACGGCCAATGAGACCGACAAATTCGCGGTCTCATGCACCTTTTCCATATCAGAATTGAACGAAGTGCCGCAAATAAGTATAACGGCCTGTTTGGTCTTGCGGACATTCTTGGACTTGATCAGTAGTTTCCCAAGTCCTGAAATTCGTAAAACAGCATGTTATTGTTAATTGTACGAGAATTTTCAATCATACAAATGTTAAAAAAAAAAAATTATGTTCTCAGGGTCTTTCGGTCTGAAGGACCCTCAATCGATTAGGTAATCCACCTTTCAGCATCAGTACATCTAATACATTTTGTTCACCGGTCTTTTCATTAAGGTTATACAGGTGCATTGACAATAGAGGGTACTGTACTCTTGAACGAGACCTATGACTCAGATTTGGCCGATCCAGAATCGATGACGTACAGAGATATGGAGAATGAATTCTTGTCCTCGGTAAGTTACGGCTGAAAGGAAATGGTCCTCAGGTTCATTGACTATTTTCAGAAGAGATGGTTTTGTTCATACCCCATTGATATTCACAATTGCATGCAGGGGGAGAGCAAGTTTTTGCCGACATTCATTTTTACAGGACGTTGTAATTAAGTTCCAGATTCTCGAATATATTTCGGAAATCCACCCTGATTCTCCAGGGTTGATTAGTATATATAGGAATCTCAATATATAAAATAGCGTACATTGGAGAACACATGACTGTGGTGAAGTGAATTGCTGAAACATTATTGACCAGGGTATAATTATGTGTCTCTCTATCCATAGATGAGTGGATCATTCAGCAACAGTACTCTTGCAGACATTTATAATGGGACGAATGTGGAGCGTTTCGAGTAAGTATATTCGATGGTTTTTCGTGTGGAGGTGTCGTGGTATAATGGTCCATTCACTTAGCTCTCAATCTAAGGGTTGAAGGTTCGAATCCCAGAGCGACACTAACGTCCTTTGACAAGACATTAACACTGGCAATTGCTTGGGGATATAATTAGGAAGAAACAGCATTTTTACTATTTTAATTATTATTAATTATGATAAGATGAGAAGAGGCAAAAGAGAGAACAAGCAATTCAGAATCTAGGGGATTATCTGATAAGTCCTAAAATCAACTAATTCCTGTGAAACAACCATCCAACAACAATCCTCATACAATTACCTTACTTTGATAACATCTAAATAGTTCAAAAAGGTGACTGTATAAACTCATATGTAATTTGAGTGGATTATGTTATGTCTACAGTCTCATAATCATTCGGGATAGTTTAGGGGCATTTTTTTTTCATTTTGTTCCAGTGAGTATTTGTGTCTGGGGGTAATTGCACATAGAGATCAAGTACACTGTAAACTGAACTAGTGATGATTAGTTATACTAAATCTGTAAAACTGAATATTCCTTTCCAAATGCTCCCTCTTCCTTCAGAAACAATAGTTTTTATGTACTTTACTTACAGTGCAAAAATGAACAATTTTGTTTTCTCCCCCTCTCTCTCGTTTTCTATTCACTAGGCAAGGAAGTATACGCATAGTATTTTCACTTTTTCTCCTCTCGGCACCGAATGATGCTGACACGGAAACGGAAGTCATCTTGGAGGTGCAGGTCACCATCGGCGATGGCATCTACTCTGGGTTCTTTGACGTGTTTGACGTCATAGAAGACTCCTTAGAAATCACAACTGGTAAGGAAAAAATACTATCAAAGACCATTGGTGATATAGAATAATTCCTTCCTTCATTCGAAGATCAACTAGGCCTAAAAGAAAAAAATAGATGTTGTATTGCCCTTTAGGTGTCAGCCCCTGGGTCGATAGGTCAATTTTTTGGCGGGTTGCTTATTTTCCCCCTTTCGGCTGATATTTTTCAGTTTTTAATGCTTAAATACATATTTTTTTGATTCATTAAACAATTTTTTTCTCTAAAAAACGGATAAAAAGAAACTTTTATAAAAGCCGACCGTAGATTTTAAGATTTCGGTCGGTCGCAAAGGGCAATACAACAACGTTTTTTTCGATTGTATGCCATATTTTTACTGTATATTTTCTAACAAATAGCATGGCTCTTAGATTATATCAAGATATTACTCATTTAAAGTTTTAAAACTACGTAGGACTATATTTTATTTGACTATGAGAGAACTTATTTTTCGTCTTTACCAGGACTAAAGATTACCTCGAAACAATGATCATCAATAATGTAAAATGAAAATTTCCCCCTCTATAGGCTATCTTTGAATGCACCGTCAGCATATCAGTATTTGTATTTCTTCTTACTATTGGGACGATTGCATAATGGCAGATATGAATATTCTTGAATAATCTAAACATACTTTTCAATGTTTATACCTCATTTGACACGGATCTATATAACTTACATTCTTTGAGAGGTTATGTTCGTGCTTCTCGTTTTTGTTTTCAGTAAATCAACAAAGTGAGACGACTGCCGAACCCCCGATAGCGGCAACGGAAGCTCCAGTAGAACCAAGCACAGTTTCTACCATTAATTCTGTTACAAGTCAACTCATGATATCATTAAGCACACTGTTATCAACACCAGTTACAACAACAGAAACAGTAGCACCAACAATACCGACTACGACTAGACTTTTTTCTACTCATGCACCAACATCTCCAAATATCGACTTAAGCACGTTCTCCACAACTGCTACACAATCAACAACAACATCTCCCTCAACAACTAAACCGACCACCATTCCGTCAGCTTCAACTTATTCACAAACAGTAGGTACCACAGATTCCACTACCACATCATCCACTGTGATAAATTTGTCTACAACATCATCAACAACAATAGACAATTCAACAGGCACAGTTCAACTTACAACTAAACCGACCACCATTTCGCCATCTGCAACCTATTCACAAACAGTAGGTACCACCTTTTCCACTACCACATCATCCACTGTGGTAAATGTGTCTACAGCAACATCATCAACAACAATAGACAATTCAACAGGCACTTTTAATTTTACAAATAAATTGACGACGATTCCACTATCCTCAACATCAGACACCACATTCACCACCATTCCCTCCACCACAAGGATATCAACAATAGCAACAACAACATCACCTGCATCACCACCAACAATCCCAACGACAATAGACAATGTATCTACTACCGATTCAGTAACATCAAAGACCACACCTAACATCACCTCACCATCCTCCTCATCGTCACCGACATCATCAACAGTAATAGATAATTCAACAAGAACAGGTCTACTTACAACTAAACCGACCACCATTTCGCCATCTGCAACATATTCACAAACAGTAGGTACCACCTTTTCCGCTACCACATCATCCAATACGGTAAATGTGTCTACAACATCATCAACAACAACAACACCGTCACCAACGATACCAACGACAATAGACACTGTATCTACAACTACTAACATTTCACTCACTAAACTGACGACAATTCGCCAACCGTCAACCGATTCTCCTACATCTTCAGCAGCTCGAGTGAATATTACAAGACAACCAAAGATTCATCCAGCCTTACCAGGTACTTTTGAATTTCTCCAAGGTAGTGTCTTCCATGTGCATCCTAGAAAATAGACAATGAAGTGATATCAGAACATTCGGTCATAACGAAAGGCATCTTTATGCTAAATTGGACAAACACAGTCTGACGGACAAGACCCGTTCGTGAAAGCATGTTTTATTTGGGACAGGCCTACGCTACTTAATGTTGCGGGTGCTATGACGGGACAGCTAGTACCCATAGCCATCTATATACAGAGTTTGGCCAACTTGGTTTCAATTAGTTACAACTGGAATACATTATTTTGTTTTGTGCTTTCGCAACAAAGCAGTATTTGCCATACTGTGCCCAAGTCGAACCGAGTTGGCCAAACTCTCCTAATCGATGGCACTGCCAGTACCTCCTTGTAGTTGTGTAACTGCGGGACGTCGTATAAGAATGTCCCACCCGACAAATGGGTAAAAGACAGAGGGAGATAGAGAAAGATAGAGAGAGAGAGAGAGAGAGGCAGAGGGGTGGGGTGGGGGGGGGGGGAGAACGTGAACAAATCCCTGGACCCATCCTCTTGTACAACGCCATTGTTCTCTCGCATATCATCCACCTCTTGCAATGTTTGCGATCATCAATACAACATTATAAGCTCACGTTCATATTCATCTCAACTTGATAGATACGTGCGGTGCTCGACCGGCAGTGAATGGTAGTGATTCTGACGGGACAGCTCGTATCGTCGGTGGGATCCAGTCAGGTCCAGGGAAGTGGCCGTGGATGGGTTCGCTTCGGGATGGAACATCACACCAGTGTGGTGCCGTCTTGATACACCAAGAATGGGCCATCACAGCACACCATTGCATGTAAGTATTGCTGCAAGGGCGGATCCAGGATGGTTTTCTTGAAGCGAGAAGGGAGGGGGGGGGCAAGTACCAGTGGACCCGCCACTCTTCTGAACCTCTTTTCGGTTCTACGACACATGCTCCAGCAACGATTGTTTCTAAACTGACCCAATTCCTAACTTTAACCCAGTGGATTCGACCCAAATCCTAGCCCTGACCATTAATCTAACATTATTTTGGCAAAAAAAAAGGGTCGCCGGAGCAAAGTGACGAGTTACCCTCTTTTATTTCTATTCTCATATGAAAATAACCTTTTAAACACCAAACACAATGTCATGTGTAATGAATTTTATATGGAATGTACGACATGTCAATGTACCAGTCGATCTGCATTCATGCCTATATGTGAAATAAAAAACTATTTTAGGGATTTTTTTAAATTGGTGTTCGGTGCGATATTAACCCTATGATTGCATGACTGGTCTCATTTCATCGTTAAGATCTTCATGCTCTCTGGTGCAATCAGGTGAAGTACTAGTCACACAATCGCAACTATTTTCGAAAAAAAATCAACTCGACGGAAGTTTAAAATCCCTGTTGTATGTCCCATAGTAGTCATGTTCAGATTACGTAATACGTCTCTTTTTGTCATGTTCGCACATATTCATAGGTGACGCACTAAGACTATTGAAATTACCGTAGGTGAATTTTCGAAAGTAGTGGCTATCGTGTTTAAAGTTTTATTTTGATATACATAATGCTACGGTCACAAAGGTTCGTACGAACGATAATTTCGTACGAATCTCCCTGTTTTTCCTTTGTCTTCCCGAATTTCCATTGTCTGAAAATCGTTCGTACGGCGTTCGTAGCAGTTCGTAATGGCATTTGTGACCGAGGCTGTAATCAACTCAAATAACTGATGGTCGTCCATCTTGTTCATTCCATGCAGAGGATTCTTTGACAACATCGTTCTTGGGGACAACGATAATAGCAACTCAGATCCTTCACCCTACCGTGTTCAACGAAACGTCCAACCCTTTTCCAATCCCGACTTCGACACCGTGACCGACAACGGTGACATCGCCCTGCTCTTCCTGACGGAACCCGTGGAGTTCAACGACCACGTCCAACCCCTTTGTATCAATACTTTGAAGACGGAGATGACGTCTTTCAACAACTGCTTTGTCACCGGGTGGGGCACCGATGATTTCTTCGATCGTGAGTGTTCCATGCAGATGTCATTGACGGCACTGTTGATATTTGATTCAAGAAGTCATATGGTTCTGGGCTTTGATACGTATCATCATAAAAGCACAAAAGACTTGCAGGTGTGATCCTGTCTTGAAACGTTAGATAACCATACATCGTGGTATATCATTTGTTAATTCAAAATAATAGGAATTACCATGGTTGGAAAGTACCAATAACGATGGTGCAAAATTCTGGGAAATTCAAAGTCCTTCCCTTTACATTTGTGAGTTGTAACAATTTATTTACATTAACCATCTTGTCAAAATACATCACTGCCTTGCCTAGATTAAATCAGCTTGGTTATATATCAAGTAGTTTTATATCCCCGTCACACCCGGGCCGAAACCAGATCGAAGAAGAAAAAAAAGCATTATCTCCAATGGCCATGTTATCGGTCAGTTTGGAATTGGTTGTGCGATGTGAATAAGGTATTACCATTCAGTAATGTTATAGCACTTTAAAGCCCCTCTAAAGTGTTGGGAGCTCCAAATTTGCCAAAAATTTCTTCCCGTCTCTCTCTCTCTCTCTCTCTCTCTCTCCACTCTCTTGGAATGAGAATGACAGTAGATCGATGTCTTGCCAAACGACGCAAGTGTCACACACGGGACTTGAACCCATGACATTCGCATTTCTAACCCATTGTTTAAACCACTCGAATTTTAAAGACATTTGTATTATTTTCTTGTGTGTTCATCCTGCAGAAAGAGCAATGAGATATCTTTTGGAGGCCAGTATACAAATGATTAACAGAAGTGTTTGCAGCGAGTGGTACCAAACTTTCCACGTCATTACCAATCAGCACATTTGCGCAGGGGAAGAAGATGGTCGCAGGGATGCGTGTTCGGTAAGTGATGTTCTTTAAACTAAACATTAACAAATAAAACTATATTGATAATAAAGAAGTGATGATAATTAGAATTAATTAACACTATCCTTTTCATATTCCCGTCACCTCAGTAAAAAAAAAGGGATCCACAGAAATAAAGAAAACTACACGATTTACCAAACTCCCTGTTGTATGTAGTTTAACTTTGAAATAGAGGAAATGAATTTCACAACCTGAGTCAGCAACCTTGACACGTAATCTGGATACAAGTAAGTGGAAGTTTCTGTGATGGCAATGTTGAAAAAATAGCTGTATATTGATATGGAAAGTCCTTTAAAAAAGGTCTCTTGGAAGAAAAAAAATGTGAAAAGGTGGTGAAAAATCATACCGTTGGAATAACGCCATCCCGTCAAAATTCTATATTCTGAAAATTTTCATTAAAAATGCTTTTGGTACTTTGGACAACGTCAAGCCACACGAGTGTTGATGGGGGAGGGGGTGAGTGATGGTAATTATAATTCAGAACTATGTTGGAAAATGGAATTAAAAAAAAAATTGTCGGAAAAGCGTAAAGGACATAATAAGGACTGCCTGTTTTGTAATCATTTATTAATTCTGAGATGTAGTAAACGACTTTATTGTAAGATATTTGGCGATGTTATTGTTCACGTTTTGCAACTTATTTTAAAGCTAAAACGTAACGAATTTTTGTTTTGCCTTTTAGATAAATGTCGGCCTCGAATTGTCGAGTCGAATGTATATCTAAAGACCTGTAAACCTGAAAATGGGGTTCTCACCCCTCCGAGTCCCCTATTAAAGATCAAGTGATGTCCCTCAGAGACCTATATAAACTATTAACACGAGACAATTATTCTGCTTTTTTTTCTTCATCTTTTACTGTATACCAGGGCGACAGTGGAGGACCTCTGCAGTGTCAAGATGGCCAAGGCATATGGTATCTTCTGGGTGTGGTCAGCTTCGGTCAAAACTGCGGCAATCCTAGACTTCCTGGGGTCTACACCAGGGTCTCGACGCAAATCGATTTCCTTTCAGGAATTTTAGACACAAATATCAAATAATGATCAGAGAGCAAACATGGCGTTTAAAGACTTTCTACAAATACGATCAAATCTAATTAAAATCTGTTATGAAGTAAGTAATGTTAATTAATGTTTCGTTAACAACTAAACAATTTGTACGCGAATTGAGAGAGATCTACGATTTCAAAGACAGTAATTGAGATGTGATTACTAAGTGGTTCAGTCTTTCAGTAAAATGTAAAAGGAAGAAAATTCTCTTCAAAAATTAAGCTCAGACCTATCAACGTCTTTCATCCGTCTTAAATATCAGGGCTTTCTATTATATAGCTCTGCCCCTTAAGCACAATATAAAGTCATTTTGATATGCAAATATACTGACTGCAAAGAAATAAAGTATGGGTAAAACTAGTTTTGGAAGATTCCATTTGCCTATTAGGAGCTGAAATCTTTCTGAAATAGATATCTTTATTTTACTAACATTTGAAATCACATGAGCTGACGAATTAAAAAAAAAAGTTAAAAAGACATTTTGAAAATTGATAAACTAATTGCATACCAGGCATATCGAAGATGATGATTGCAAGGAGATTTGTTACATATATGTATGTAACGTTGCATGAAGAACATTTAAAATTGTTTCATGTCGGCATAATAGTTTACGATGCAGAATCAACAATACTTTATGAAAGAAAGGTAAAGAGTTTGTTACAAATTCGTTAAAAACAATAATCGTATACATTGAATACGATAAATCTTGTAGCTAACGCACGACTTATAAGCAAACCGCATTGTGGAACTCCTTTAAAAAAATCAACTTCATTTTGTGTGTTTTTGTTATCAGTCATATAGACAGTTCAATGCTTATTAAAAAAATTGTATTCAAGACGTTATACAACTCAACCTCGACTAATTTGGCATCGTTCATGTACATGAATTACAATTCTGAAACTTAAAAAAATCAGAATATAAATCTTTATCCAAATACTGAATAGTATAGGTGAGAGATTTGATTATGAACTATAATCTCATTCATAATTTTTTAATGACTATTTATCAATATTGTGACTATTCAGAACTAAAGGGGAAATACGCAGTATAGGCTATATGGTTTTAATATACAAAATATTTTACTATGTATATTTTTATATTTTAAATAAAATGTATATATACGATATGTCGCATCAGGGATAAAGATGATCCGTATATTTTATGAATATATCATGAATAAATAAATTAATGTACTTGTTAATGATAAATCTATGATTATTAATATTGTACGTGACTGTATATCGCTTGTGGTAATGTTTGCCATTTAGACATTTTATTTCATATATCTATCTTTCATTGAGGAGTACGCATTCATTAGCTAGATATATTTATTGGAGGACATGTGGGGGAACGATATATTCCTATATAAAAACAAATTATACATATTGTTCATGGCATCCGCGAAGGAAGCATATAGTCCAAATGCCATCAAAATAAATTACCTATTTCATTACGATATTACATCCCCATCCCTCATGAAAGTTAATAGAAATGATTGGAGTAAGCAAATAATGATCTATTTCACTATAACCATGATCACGTTTTATAAATACCCCGTAGAAAGTTTTACAAGAAAAAGGAGTATGATGATGGTTGGGTAAGCAGAAGGAGAGAGAGAGAGAGAGAGAGAGAGAGAGAACTGGAGCATGGTAAATATGGAATAACATGCGAAAGACATTGAACAGGACAATAAAACAATGAAAAGGATGCAAGGAAGCATCACAAAAAAAAAAATTCACGATATTTCCTCCAGTGGCGATTCCTCCGTGTCAACCGCCTACACTAACCGAATTGTATACTTTATAACGAACTTCTCTTTGAAAATAATCATGTATATGGCCTTCCCTATGAACTTGATCATACGGTAGCTCTTCTATATGAACATGATCCTGCTGAGGGCCTTCTCTTTAAACATTATCATACTGTGGGCCTTATAACCTATGAATATGATCATGAAGTGGGCATTCTTTATGACATTGATCATACTGTGGGCTTTATGACCTATGAATATGATCATGAAGTGGGCATTCTTTATGAACATGACCATACTGTGGGCCTTAATTATGACCTATGAATATGATCATGAAGTGGGCATTCTTTATGACATTGATCATACTGTGGGCTTTATGACCTATGAATATGATCATAAAGTAGGCCTTCTTTCTGACTATGACCATACTGTGGGCCTTCTCTATGAAAATGACCATACTGTGGACCTTGTGATTATGATCATGAAGTGGGCCTTTTCTATGAATATGACCATACTGTGGGCCTTCTCTATGAATACGACCATACTGTGGACCTTCTCTATGAATATGACCATACTGTGGACACTTTTTTTTTTTTTTTGGTCTCAAATTTGAAAATTTGACATTTTGCTCCGTGGGGGGGGGGGGGGGGTAAGGTCACCTTTCTTAGGTCAGCAATGGGGGTAATTTATTTATTTATTTATTTATTTTTTAAATAATTAAACAAAAAAAAACAAAAAAAAATCCAAAGGGGGGGGGGGGGGTTAGGAATTTTTTAGGGGGGTTTACACACATAAAAATACCAAAAGGGGGGGGGGGTTTAACCCCCAAACACCCCCCTGCGTACGCGCCTGAATACGATCATATGTTGGTCTTCTCTATGAACATGATTATGCAATAAGCCTTGTCTATGAACATGATGTTGGTCTTCATGCTCATAGAAAAGACCAACAGTATGATCACGTTGAAGATGATCATACTGTTGGTCTTTTCTATGAACATGATTATGTAGTGAGCCTTCTCTATGAAAATGATCATACTGTTGGTCTTTTCTATGAACATGATTATGTAGTAAGCCTTCTCTATAAACATGATCATACTGTTGGTCTTCTCTATGAACATGATTATGTAGTGAGCCATCTCTATGAACATAGTCATGCTGTGGGTCTTCTCTATGACCATGTTTATACTGTGGGCCTTCCCTATGAACATGATCATGTTGTGGGCCTTCTCTATGAACATGATCATACTGTTGGTCTTCTCTATGAACATGATTATGTAGTGAGCCATCTCTATGAACATAGTCATGCTGTGGGTCTTCTCTATGACCATGTTTATACTGTGGGCCTTCCCTATGAACATGATTATGCAATAAGCCTTGTCTATGAACATGATGTTGGTCTTCATGCTCATAGAAAAGACCAACAGTATGATCACGTTGAACATGATCATACTGTTGGTCTTTTCTATGAACATGATTATGTAGTAAGCCTTCTCTATAAACATGATCATACTGTTGGTCTTCTCTATGAACATGATTATGTAGTGAGCCATCTCTATGAACATAGTCATGCTGTGGGTCTTCTCTATGACCATGTTTATACTGTGGGCCTTCCCTATGAACATGATCATGTTGTGGGCCTTCTCTATGAACATGATCATACTGTGGGCCTTCTTTATGAGCATGATCATATTGTAGGCCTTCGCTATAAACATGATCATACTGTGGGCCTTCCCTATGAACATGATCATACTGTGGGCCTTATTACCTATAAACATGATCATACTGTAGGCCTTATTACCTATAAACATGATCATACTGTAGGCCTTATTACCTATGAACATGTTCATACTGTAGGCCTTATTACCTATGAACATGGTCATACTGTAGGCCTTATTACCTATGAACATGATCATACTGTGGGTCTTCTCTATGAACATGTTTATACTGTGGGCTTTCCCTATGAACATGATCATGCTGTGGGCCTTCCCCATGAACATGATCATGTAAATGGTATTTCTTATGAACATGATCATGATGTGGTCTTGTGATTATGATGTAGTGGGGATTCCCCGCTTCCCTTTGACCTTTGTAATGACGCAGACATATTGTATAACGTATAACGTATTCAAACATCATTGCAACCGCCACGTATACATCCTAAATTTGTTTCCATATCTGATATATTTGATGAGCCTGATGTCGAAACAATGGCTGTGAAAATGGTAGATGTGTGCATTTCTCTCAACCATTATTTACCAATGATACTGACATTGTGCGCCATAGCAACGTGTAAGTATTGCTTCATGGTTGAACCATGTATATGGTAGGGAACAATGCTGGTATATTAACAAAACCCGTTGATGAACATTATGTGCTAGTGAATGTGAATGTCTTTGTTTGGTGCATGGCTTTCAATGATGTGACTATGTAAAGCAGGGATTTTAAATGAATTTCTGTTTGCCGCATTTGTGATATCAATATCAATTTTTTTTAAGTGCAATGTATTGAATGAAATCACGATAAGAAAATTGCATATCGGCATAGGATGAATGCTTAAAATGGTAATTGCAGGTGGTAATTGGGCCTCCATTTAGAAGGTAATTTAAACAATGGCGTAATAACCGGGGGGGGGGGGGCTGGGGGACTATCCTTTCGCCTCCATTGTTTTTGGCTGAAAGCCCCTTATTTTGTGCATCTACATATAGATATCAGATCAATTTCTTAATATACTTATCAATATACTTATTCTAATGGTTAGACTCAACTTTAGAAGAAAGGCATTGGTCAATGTAAGTAACTTTTTCTTCAAATTGTATTATTACAAGAAATTAAAGTCTGAGCAAAGTGTGATTAAAAATAAGAAAGTTATGAATTTTTGAAGTTGTGATCTATCAAATACAAATTGGCAACTCTGTGACGTATCATACGAGCTCTCCTTCTATTTGCGTTGTGCATATTATTCCATAAAATTACGTTTTCTACGTTATTGATGACGGAATATATTTGTTCCTTGCGGGGTTGTAAGCAGGGGCGTACGCAGGGGGGTGGGGTTTTGGGGTTCAAACCCCCCCCCCTTTTTTTTTTTGTTTTTTTTGTTTTTTTTGTTTTTTGTTTTTTATTGTTAAAAAAAAAAAAAAAAAAAAAAAAAAATTATACCCACGGCTAACCTAAATAACTAAATAAGTGACCTTACCCCCCCCCAAGAAGAAAAATGTCAAATTTTGAAATTTTGAGACCCCCCCCCCCCCCCAAAAAAAAGTGTCCGCTTACCCCCCCCCCCCCCCCCCCCCCCCCCCCCCCCCCCCCACTGAGCGACTTTTCGGCCGGCGCGATTTTCAAATTTTCGGGAGCAAAATATTTTAAAACCCCCCCCCCCTTGAAAAAATCCTGCGTACGCCCCTGGTTGTAAGTAAACATATTTGCAATTATTATATTTAGGGTACATATATGATTGAACATTTTCTTGAGGGAAAATGGAAATTTCAGATTTTGTTAGTACTGAGCGAATGGGAGGTACGTGAGCTCGAAAAATACCTCACAGACTTGCCAATTTGTGTTTGATTGATCACAACTTTAAAAATGCATAACTTCTTTATTTGGAATCGGAATTTGCTTAAACTTTCATTGTGTCCTTCACCTTTTACCTTGACAGAGGATTTAAAGATATTGATAGATTTATGTGAAACATAGTCAAGTCATTGCAGATTCTACGTATGAACAAGCTCTTAACACATGCACTATTATAGCATTTAGACATTATCCAACTTGGGTTTTTAAATGGGTCCCATGGGACCCCCTTAATCCTGCCACACCACAGTATCTACTGGATCGTCATCACAACGATGGCGAGGTGTGACCTTCAAGGTATATTCAAGGTATATAAAGATTTATGATAATTCTGAATTTATCATGAACAATCTACATTAAATAATGCATTCTTTTTTTCTTGCCTTATCATAGAAAGAGAGGCAGGCCTACATAGAACAACTTAAAGGTTTCGTATCAGTTCATTCCGTTTGTATATGAAGTGGAATGCAAATACCCCTTGAGCATTTGAGCTAATATGACTCTTGCTATGAACATTTTATGTTGCTTGCATGTCCATTTTTGTTCATGATTAAATTCATTCACTGTGTGATATGTCTTAATACGATTTATGTTTGTATATATATTTATGTTTTTACACAATGTACAAAATTCTGCAATTCAGCCTTTTGGCTGCAAATGAATCTTCAACAAAACCATTACCATTGCCACCATTATGATTTCCTATCTCTTATCATGTGACCAAGAAAGATCGATCATCTTTAGTCCACGAATAGAGGGGATTGTTAAATCTCGAAGATCAAAACATAATCCTTTGTGGCTATACTTCGATATATGTCCACAGTTTCCATTTGGTATATCTTAATTCATAATGAATTGCTTGTGAATTGATCTGAAAAAAATGTCAAAAAATTCACTAAAATAAGATTCTGAGGGTGAGTGCTTCAGCCCCCCCCCCTACTTCAAAACGCTTCCTACGCCTATGGTTATTTACATAATTATACAACACAAATACACACATGTGTTTATATATACATATACATATATTCATCTTACAGCGTTATTAGAAGGACATATTTAGTGAAGAAAATGAGTCATTACCAGGACATTTTCGATAGAACAATTGAATGACTGCCTTCTACGTATGTTTGCAAGCAGAGGAAACTTAAATACCTCCCAAGAAACGATAGGCTATTAGCTATTAGTTAAATTAAATATATTGTTTTTAATTTGGGGTAAGGGTTAGGGTTAGGGTAATATAACAGGTGTTATGATGTCCTGTTGAACCATTTAGGGTTATACCGTGCGTCCCCCAAAAAACTGTACACTTTTGAAATGGCTACCGAATAAAAAAATATATGATTCTAGGGGAAAAGTTTTATATGTATGAAAAGCTCATAAGCTCAAGCTTCATATGACACGATAAAGTTCGAAAATAATTAATGTTTGGGTAAGCACTGCTCAATTTTGTAAAGGGTATGAAAATTAGGTTGCGCAAGAATTAGTCTTCCAACTTGTGAGAGGTAAATCCATTGGAGCTTACAAAATTGAAGGTGATATGATACATTCATGATTTGCTGAGTGAATTTAATGGTTTATTAAACCAAACTTTTATGCATGAGTTAACAGAAATTGCCTTTTTTATTGTAGCATTGTAACTTTCCCTGGTAGACTCAGTTACCATTTACCTGAAGAATAAGTAGCCGACATCTTGGACATTCCTTTTTTCAAGAAACCGTATTTGAATATTCAATTTACATAATCCCTACCTGGGTATTAAGTAAATCAATGAGATGTTCAACTTATCTTCCAATAATTGAAATGTGGGGTGAAGGTTTTTATTCAAAGTCACAGGTGTAAAAAATAACAGTTTGTAACATGAAAATTACAACATGTACCATCACCCCCATCCTGACTCCCATGAACACACATGTGATATACACATGTATTATATACATTTGTATGAAAACCATTTTGTTTCAGTAAAACAGTGTGTTGTAAGACACAGTCAACATGTATAGATAAAATTTAATTACAGTAATGTCAAGGAATCGCGATACGATTTGGGGAATCCCCGATATGACACGGGGGGGGGGGGTCCCTGTTGTGCATTCAAAAACGTTAAGCATGTTCATGCACACGAATGCGACGCATGGTCATAAAGGCCGGGTGAAATCCAAATGGGTCTTTTGTTTGTTATTCAAACATCTAAAAATATTACTTATATTTCAAAATATTTTTAAAAATAATGTTCTCAGACCTGCAAAGCTCCATCCTAATAAAATGCTCCAGATCTCAATGATCTTGTGACATCATATGTCTATCATAGGTGAGCTAACAAGAGACAGTGGTATAAATTCCCCTAGCTCAGCACTTGCTCACAAAATAATTGCCTTCTTTCATACAAAACCTCCACATTAACTTTCTTTTCCTAGTGATGCTACGGTACGTCTGGCACCTCCCTGGTCTATCATAGCAACTCCTGTGGTGGTAGTGTAGGGTCTATTATAAACAACATGAGGTCAGCTCTTGTGAAGCTACATACCACTATCTTGTGTTAGCTCACTAATGGTTGACAGATGATGTCACATAGATGAATGAGATCTGGAGCATCTTTTTAGGGTGAAGCTTAGCAGGTTTGGGAAAATAATTCTAAAAAAATATTAAAATTCTATGCCATGTATTTAGATGTTTAAATAACAAAATATGAGTTGTATGCAGCCCAACTTATATTTGGATGTCACCCAACCTTTAAAGAGGACGCTTCCCCCGATCATGGGCGCATGGGCCCTCTGTTGTCAGGGGAGGGGAATGACGTGTCTTACCCGAACATCCTCTGTCCAGTTTCTAAATTTGTGAGCGAGCGAAGCGTTTGAGCAACTTTCTTTGGCACTTCATGAATGTTGTAATAAAGATATAAAAATGTAATAGTAATATAGTAATATACCAATAGTCCATCTCGACTACAGATCATTATTGTCATGCTTTTACATTTCTCTTTGTTTTTATGGTTTACTCTCTATTCCATTCTCTCCTTATTAATTATGAGCGTTTTTCTCATTGAATTTTATTTTGTGCCCCCTTTCACATATGCCCCTCCCCCATCCTTTACAGTTGGTAGTACTGAGCAGCATGTAGTCGGCTGGCTCGGGCAAGATGTACGCCTACTATGCAACTTCACCAATGAAGACGTGCTTGCAGTGTATTGGATGAATGGCAGTGACATAACCAAGGCCTCCTACTTCAAACAGCAACGAATAAGCTTGGATGACCGGTTTGCTTTGAATGAGGATTTCTCTCTCGTCATCAATGATCTCGAGGTGTCAGACGAAGGAAGATACGTGTGTCACGTTGAATTCTATTCTGCAGAAAGTTTGACAATGCACACCATACTGGCTGTCTACGGTAGGGATGTCTTCTTAGATCATGTTCTGAAAAATCTTAATTGGCCTAGAGGGGTGAGGTGTTTATATTTGTAAACAAAACACACACAACCACTCACACACACACACACACACACACACGCACACACGCACACACACACATACATAAACAATATTTTAAGGGGGAAAAGTAGGCCCAATTTGTATTCCAACAAGGCTAGGTTATGGAATTTCGATGCGACCGGCCTTCGGGGGGGGGGGGGGTTCGTAAAAATACACACATAAAAAATACGAAAGGGGGGGGTTAACCCCCAACCCCCCCCCCCCCTCCCTGCGTACGCGCCTGTGTTTGTGTGACTTTGCTTCTGCAAAAAGCATATGCAATGCATTTAGGAAGTACAGAGCCATTTTTATGCATCTAGGAAGAACAGAGCCATTTTGATAACGGCTCTGAATAGAGCATTCCAGCCGTTTTTAATTCTTGATTTGTATTATATTTGTAAATTGTATTCTTGTATGTATTTGAATCTTTATACGGAAAATAAAACCAACCAACCAACCGACCAACCATCTCATTTGATACATTCAATTCATTCTCTCACTTTAATCTCAACATATCCCATACTGTAGGCATTACTTTGGCGCAAGTCGATTTTTGAACTCTCGCAAACAATGCCTCCTGTTCATCCAAACGTGAACACATACCACACAAAAATGACACCAAATGATTTGGATAAAACGCTCTTTCATGAGATGTATAATAATTTACTGTTCATAGATTTTTTTTTAATAAATAGCAATTTTCTGGGTGTAAACTTTTTTCGACTCACACGGTATATGGTCCCAGTTAATTTCTTTCTTTTGATCTGGACCTCTTTACGTCTGATGGTCCCTCCAGGTCCACAGAAACTATGAACAAAATGGTAATTTGTATTCTGATTTCATGTCTCGAAATCCTTTATAATCCTATTGATTAAACTATAAATTGTTTTCATTCATTTCACTGACCGTTTCCATTTATGCCAATGTTTCACCTTAATAATTGCTTTTAACATGATCGCAACTACTTTCGAAAGATTCCACCCCAAGTGTAACATCAATTATCATGTTAGGATAATGTAATATGTCATTATAATGTTCGTACATGTCAGGTTGATTATTTAAAAGTACGGTGCGATCATAATGTTCTCTTTTCTTCATGAAGCACAAGTATCAACTCCTCGCATCGGACAATGTTCCCATAAGCCAACCGGGAACGAATTTCAAAGTTACTGCGAGGTGACAACTACCGACACCCAGCCTTTTCACTTGGACTGTCGAGTGACTGGCTTCAGACCGAATGTTTCCCTTGAGTGGACCTCCTCGGGGACTGTGAAGAAGCCCCTTGGAGAACCTTTCCAGAAGACACTACCTGACGGCACAGCTGACCGGGTGGTTACAATCAGCGTCACTGCCAAAGTTGACGAAGATCGGTCTTACACCTGTACGGTGAAGGGACGGGCGACCAATGGAACAGATCGGACAGCAACAATCACGGTGCTTGCTCTAGGTAACGCATTCATAATGAGAATTTACCTTTAAACTGATATTATAATGACTTAGAAATCTGAACAACATATAGCCATACGATTGAAAGGTAAAGTAGGCACACTCATGTACCACAAGTCCACAACAGTGTTTTTCTTATAACGTCGAACTATTAAAGAGAAAATCGTAATTTCTTTTAATTTCAAGATATTTCACGCTTTTGTTTCCAATTTATCGTGATTTAATTTGCCACCGTCTATGTAATGTTTTCATCTACACCAGTTTCAAGTTTATTCAATTTTATCAGCTTCTCCATCCGATTTTAAAGGATTTTTTAAAACCACTTTATAAGAATAGAGAGAACGTAAAGTTGGAAGCCAGGAAGGAACAGTGGGGATCCATATATTCAGGGGCGATTTCTTTTCATGACCGGGGGGGGGGGGGGGGGGGGGGGGGGGGGCGAAATGCGAGGGACGAGTGAGAAGTGGCGTAATGAGCAAAAACGAAGCTCGGGGTTTTAGGCATTAAATTACGATCAGATGAGCATCCAGTGGTTGCCTTAGGGCCCTTGGCGGGTTCCAGTGGGCAGAGCCCCCGGAAGCTCAGGTTTTTTTTAAGGCATTTAATTACGTTCAGATGAGCATCCAGGGCCAGCCTTAGGGCACTTGTTGGGGTCCAGGGGGACAGAGCCCCCGAAAGTTCAAAGAAAACCATGCCATTTCCGCAACATTTGTAAATCACTGGTATCGAATTAGAAATAAACCACATTTGAATTTTATTAGGGGCAACTGCCCCAAGCCCTCCTCCATCATTACGCCAGTGCGAGGGAGCATCGTGAAGGAGAGAGGTGAAGGTGACGGAAGTGATTACCCTTTCACAGGTTTTTGACGTTTTGTTGTATGAAAAAATAACATTCGTTAGCAAAACTATGGTATAAAAACAAGCAATATACTTTTTTCACACTTCACTTTTCTACAAATTTTCTTTGAACACTTTGAAGGATTTCATGCGAGAAGGCGTAGCTAGCGAACGAAAAGATTTGGGGCATTTTTATTTGTCTAAACACTGCACTCTCGGGCCCTCCAGAGCGTAACATTTTGTTCAGTCTTTAGTTATTATTTGCTATACACTTTTGGGGGCACTTTTTCCAAATTTTCCAGGGGGACGACCCCCCCCCTAAAAAAAGTGAGGGGGGACGTGTCCCCCCCCCCCGTCCCCCGGGATCGCCGCCCCTGCATATATTTGTTATTCTTAACTATGTAACCTCTGATGTATTCGATGAGGACTTGATATTATAAACTGATCTGTCATATGATGATATGCTATGATAAAATGATTTTCTGCATGATAATATTAATAGGCCAAGGGGTGTCTACTTGGGCAAAGATCGGCTTTGGTGTACTCGGGGGCTCCATGTTGATCGCTCTAATTCTGCCAGTCATCGCAGTGGCCCTTTACAGACTAGGTAGGCCTGTTAACTGAGAAACACGGTTTAAAGTTTAAGAAGTTTAAATGCTTTCAAAAAATGAAAATAAATAGATTGCGTAAGAGTACAGTATCAGAAAATACAATGACCCTTAGATTTAGTGTAATATATGCATTTGACTATACATATTGTTATAATATACATGCATCTCAGTTTTATCAATATGTCGGTTAGTCTACTTTGCTTCACAGCGACCCAACTGTAGTTCAGAGAATGGATATTCTGTAACTTTGTCTTGATAATAAAAGGAGATCAAGAAATCGTTGTCACAATGTCCACCTAGACGCTGTTCAATTAAACAGTACGCTAGGAGTTCGTCAGTTCATTATCGCCCTTGACCCCTTATACTCATCAATCATTCGTCATTAATGACACTTTAAGTAGAATATTGTAGAAGGATTACAATATCGTATGTTTCAGCTAAAATCTTCTTGGCTCCTTTTGTCCACTTTTTTAATCATAAAAGCTTCAGCAGCAGGCTCGCTAATGATTACCGAAACATCATCTCGATGATTCCATGTTAATGATTTATATCATAAATCTGCTCCGTGTAGGGTGTGTGTTTCATACGTGTCGTGTGATACATTTGTGATGGAGGTAATTTAGACTAGGTCCAAACATCTCGCTCTAGCTACCTCTCTCGTCTGTATATTGGTAAAATAATATTGAATATTGAAAAACATAATTTAAATGACGGAGATATTTACTGCAACATTTTTCTTTTTGGAATCATAATCTTTCTATATATAATTATGTGCCATTTTATTTGCAGGTCATTTGAGAGCTCTTCGAAAAGAAATAAGGACATACACTTTCAAAAAACCCGGTAAGGAAAATGAAAAGGCAGCCGCGCACATCGGTCTTTTTGGTGAGATGGGAGCTGGGAAGTCTACATTCCTCAATTCTATTGAGTTCGCATACAAAGGTGATAACGATCTTACATTAAAAATAACATATACTTAACGATAAAACACGCCGTAAATTAAAAGTTAACACGATTCATATAATCCTACATTAATTGAAAATACAAAAAGGCGGTAACCCATTACAAGAAATATGACCTTTACGATGCACGTGTTCGTAATAAAGGCACGTCTAATATTTGTAGGCGGGTGGGCACATTCTCGCAATTTTTTTCAAATGAACAAGAACAAAGAGAAAAGAAGTTCGTCATCAAATTACAGTAGATAAATATGATGAAGAAATGTTGTATTCTGGCACGACATAAATGCCAGGAATGTGGTAAACGTGTCATTTTGTCAACAAAGCACACATGAGATCTAAAGATGATATATTCGGGCATCTCGCTGCTCAAAACCATCCTGTTAAAAAATGTTGTGATCGAGCAAAAATTAACTTTTTTATCTACAAAATGTTATTTTGTCATCAAAATACACTAGATGAGATATAAAAATATATATATACACCTGTTGCCTGAATATTGGAACTGGGGAAGGGGTGGGGGTAGTTGCAGTCCCCAGCTCCCCCTCGTAAACCTAAAACGTATTGTCAGTTTAATACTGTATTTTCTGTTATGTTTTCCCCATTGTAATTCTTGTTTGTGAAGGCAAGCGAAGCCAGCCAACCAGAAGCACAGCACATTCAACTGGAGGACACACTGAACTACGAAATTGTCTTCGTCTTACTGACTATATTTCTCTGTTCGACAATCGCGGCATGAAAGATTTTAGTTTGTCATATGTGGACCAGTATATGGATGAAATCAGTAAGTAACATTCGTTATTGCTTGAGTATAAGGTTTCTGAATAGAAAAACTATTGCAAGTAATATTCAGTTTAGTTGAAGCCTGTCAAGAAATCATCAACATTTTCTGATTATATATATAGAAATATAAATGTGTGTATACATTGTTTATATAGACGCAAGAATTGAAAATACCCGCCTAAAAGTTGACTAAGGGTAGGGCGACAAAACTTAGAAATTACTAAACTTAAATTTGTTTTACACAACAGTAGTTGTGTATACTTCAGTGTATATACGGAAAAAGTACGGCATTATACAAATGATACACAAGTTTGAGTGCGTCTGTAGGAATTGTGTGCACGCGGTACCTTTGAATGGTTTTAGACAACGAACTTGAAATTCGATGATTTTAGACCAAATTCTAAGGTACCGCGTGCACACAATTCCACCGACCCACGAATTAAACCTGTGCACCATCTGTTTTATAAAATGGGGCCCTCAAAAAATCGTCAAAAATACAAAAACCTGTTATTTTACGGATTTACCGGGTGCATGGCAAATCATGCTTTCCGGTAATTACCGGACGCATGATTTTGCCATAGCCATGTTTTCCGGTTGTTACCGGAAAACATGATTTCCTGAAACTTATGAAATAAAAAAAATAAATAATAAAGTTGTCAGTGCACAGTAACTATAAAAAAAAAAAAAAAAAAAAAAAAAAATTATTTAAAAAAGACAGGCCTATATCGGTGGTATCGATCCCCGATATCGCGTGCATCCAGTAAAAATAACTACACGGTAATTGACCAATCAGATTGCAGGGATTCTTCTACCCATCTAATAATGTCGTAGGCCTATGTGTATAATAAGAAAGGAGTGGACGCTTCAAACGTACAAAAATCGAGGGAAAATGGTGAACTATGAAGAAAGTTGTGATTTCAATTGGCTAATAATGAGACACGCGTTTACCAAACAATCGCACATGCATTGGCGTATCGAGGGGGGGGGGATGTTTTAGAATTTGACACCCTTTATCTGTGTTTTATCTATGGCCTCCCCTTGCTTAATCATTGAATCTTCCCCCCCCCCCCCTTGAGCGTCAGGGGAGGGGGCCATCTCCCAAAAGGTAAATTAATGTTTTTTCCCACAGGGGGGGGGGGGGGGGGCAGCCCCCTGGATCCGCCACTGGTATATGTATTGAATATTATGTACCGTTCTTTTTTTAATGGAAAGAAACTATACCACTTTCTACTACACTATTACATTTAAAATAGGAGGCAAGAAAGAAGAAGCAGGTTCATCAGTTTCTACCTGTCTTATTAGTGAGGAAATTTATTGCGCTGTGTTCGTCTATAAACACGGGTAAGTATAGGAAAAGATTTAAACCGGCTATTTTTAATTCCGAATTTCACATATTTACTTCTCAATATTAATCCGAAAATAAGATTCGCAATTGTACTAAAAATGTTCGGGAGAGAGAACATATTGACCGGGGGAGGGGGGGGGGGGTGGTCGCACTGAAAAGGTTAATTACGTTTATGATTGCAAGGTCTAGTCCGAAGCCACTTATGCGCATGCCCATAATATTTCACTATGCCTAGGTGGAATACTCAAAGATATTGAGTAGGTATCTGTCAATTAAAAGACGCCTTCCTTCCCCGATCACAGAACCACTGTGCCCCTCTTCAGTTTCACAAGGAGGGGCCCTATTTTTCCAACAACCGAAGCTAATTTTCAACCATCTTATATACTGTGATGTACGATTTTGGATTCCTCCCTCACTAGAGTTTTGGCCATTATTACTCGGGAAACGAGTCGCAATTGACTATAGTGTTCATTAAAATCTATTTTTATAGTAGTAAAGAGTGCATTTTGGCTGAAGTTTAGCCTTCGTGAAACTTGAATGATACATCATTTGTTTTTTAAACAAGAGATATTACCTTTCAAAATTTGTTCAGTGACTCTCAAAAGAAGAAAGCAGCTGTGGAGTTTTTTGACAAGTTTTCAACAAAACTTCGAAATTATAGTGGTAGGTATATGAGGCCTTAAAAAAGAAGAAGATGTTGTATTGCCCTTTAGGTACCAAAACATGGGTCGGTCGGTCGGAAATCTTTTAATCAGTTTTTTTTTTTAAACTCCCTCTTTGGGCTGATATTCCTGAGGTTTGAATGCTTTAATACATTTTTTTTTTTTAAAACGGTAAAAAAAAACCTTTTTAAAAAATCCGACCGTAGATTTCAAGATTTTTAGGTCGGTCGCAAAGGGCAATACAACATTTTTTTGTTAAAGGCCTGATGATGATCATCATGTTACTACTACTACTAATATTATATGTACTACTTTGTATTCTTTTGTATTGTGTCCATTTCCGTCAATTAAAAAAAAAAAAAAAATATATATATATATATATATATATATACATTTACAATCATAAAGACACACTTATAAAAGAAAGACGGAGGGATGGCCCTACTCAGCGTTGATATTTTACAGAGGGGTCCCTAAAAACATAAAAGACATGTAAATACATCAGGAATAAGGACAACTTACAACAAAAATGAGAACTTACAATAATTACAAGAGCGAATTGGAGTACAACAAGAAAAAGGAGAGAAATATTCACGTTATATACAAGAGAAAAAATCAAGTAGATAAATAAAAAAAATAGCTTACATAATAATAAGATACCTAAACAGATACAAGAAGTCTGGAATAATATTGTTTAAATACTTTTTGAATGTATTAACAGCTTGAAGTAATTGTGTGGTATGAGTACTTGTGCTCATTCCTGTACTTATTACCCTGAGTAGCCTCATCAGTGTTAATACTGCTCTTTCTGATGGCCCTGTAATCATTACCCCTGCATTTGTCAAGTTACCGGTACATACACATGTCCTGTGAATCGAAGAGTTTCCCTATGACATTCCATAGTAGTGCATGCATTACGACATGATATAATATTCATTAAAGTATAATCAAACCATTGCACTAAATTAATTTGATTGTATGAAAACAGACAAATTCGAGTTCTAGAGAATGACTGAAGTTTTAAATGACGAGAAATTGATGAATGTTTGAGATATCAGATCACTAAAAAATACGTGAATCTCACATTGGCAATTGGTCAGTGGATTGTGACGTATTCACAAGCAACTCTTTTGTTTGTTGTGTAATAACATATCATTAATTTATCTGTTTCTTCTATGTGGGCACTTCACAAAATATAACGTGGATAGCATATTATAGGTCCTCCACAAAGAAAAGATCCTCCTGAATGATACATTAACAATTTGTTTTTTACCTTAGAGTCATTGTATGTTGGAATAAATGGGAGAGTCGTCCGTCACTATATTAGAGCGAAATTAAGCCACTTTGAAGCCACTTTGAGATACTAACATATCACTAATTTCTCTGTTTCTTCAATGTGCCTTTCCCTGTTGGGCACTTTACAAAATATTACATGGATGGCATATTGTAGGTCCTCCACAAAGAAAAGATACCCCTGAATGATACATTAACAATTTTTTTAACCTTAGAGTCATTAAGAGAAATTAAGCCTCTTTGAAATTCCCATTTTTGCATAACAGTGATTAGAGCTTTTACTAAAATTAAAAGAGGTATACATCTACTAACAGTTGTTTGATGTCGTTTAAACTTGTATAAATCTGCTTCTCTGATATTAATACTTTCCCTGAGAGCAACTTTTTAAAGGTTAGATTTCCCTTTTATCAATGGTGATTTCTTCCTTATGCTCGTATTCCCAATTTTTTTCATTTCTATACACCTCCTTACAAAAAAAATCTCTCTCTCTCTCTCTCTCTCTCTCTCTCTCTCTATATATATATATATATTGTATGTATGTCTGCCTGCCTCCCTCCCATCTTTATTTGTCACCCTCTCCTAATTCTCTTTCTTACGCCTGCTCTCTCTCTCTCTCTCTCTCTCTCTCTCTTCTCTCTCTTCTCTTTGTTCATTTTGCTGTATCCTAAGTACAAGCTGCTTTTTCTTTGGTTGTATGTAGCGTAATTATATGATGTTGATAAAGCAAAATGAGCTGTCGAATTGATAAATGGAGCATAATTATTATGTCATGAGAGTTTACTCTAAATCAGATTTAGTGGGTTACATTGGATAAGTTGAAGGCCTATACATTCAAATCATTATTTGAAATGCAGAGAGAAATTCACGAGTTTCAAGAGAAATGGTATCAACCATCACTCCTTAATCCTTGTTATTATTATTATTATACAAAATTGATAAATGATTAAATCAATGAATAACTTTATTACTTTTTCTTCATGAAATGTGTAGGTTATCAACCGATGATAGTCATTACTCACGCCAACAGCTTGTCGACAGAAACCAAGAGAGATTTGAAAGAGAGCTTCAAATCCTATTGCGACGAAGTGTGGTTCTTTGAAAACTATACTAAGTCCATCAACAACTTGGGGAAGAGCATCGAGTTTTTGAAGTTTCTCAAAGCATCGCTATATCGCAGCGAAGTCGCCATCGTAACCCATGAGCGACAGAATGAACGCGAAAGAGAGATAGAGGCAAAGAAGGGTTTTTTTGCGCGTTGGTTTGGTTGGTGAGCATAGATGTATGCATGTGCGTCACTATGTTATACTTTGACGGGGTGGTGTCCTCAGACCACAATTGCAAACATTAAATCCAAATTTTAATTTGAACAATCTATTGAAATGAATCCTGGCATAATAGGATCTCATTTATAATTCGTTATTGTTTGCTTTATATTGAATCAATCTGTTCTTCAAAAAGAAAGAAATCTAGTGTTTCATTATTAAACACTGCACTGCTTGCAGGCGTGTACGCAGCAGGGGGGGTTGGGGGTTGAACCCCCCCTCAATTTTGTTTATGTGTGTGATTTTTGATGAAACCCCCGCCCTCATAAAAAAAAATAATAATAATAATAAGAAGAAGAAAACAAAATGATTTCTTTCTTTTTTTGTCCCAAAGGGTGACCCCAAAAATCGACCTTACCCCCCCCCCTCCGCTTATTCAGCGGCTGGCTGAGTCGTTGCGAATTTTTTGGGACCCCCCCCCCCCCCCCCCCCCAAAAAAAAAAAAAAAAAAAAAAAAAAAAAAAGTGCTCTTATACCCCCCCCCCCCCCCTGTATTCTGTTGCCATATTGGAGAACGAAATTACTAAATACATGTACAATAATTATGCAATAACAGAAAAGAGAAGTAATATCTTGTTTCAGTTGTACTAGCCCTTTATAGGGTGTCCTTGAAAATGGGAAACCTCAGTATATGGGTGAATAGCCTTAATAATTTCACATTATTCCTAGGAAAATGTATATATGATGGGAGAGTTCAATATCGTTTCTGTCATATGACATCAAAGTCATGATAACAAAATCAAACATTTCTAATTTAAATGGCAGTGTAAGAAACCCAATAATTGTCCAAAATAATTGGATGTCTGCTACGTTTGGGTCATTATGGATTTGAAATGAAAATAAATGATGTGGAATTAATAATTGTTAAACATACACGTGACCAGGCGCGTACGCAGGGGGGGGGGGGGGGTTAACCCCCCCTTTTTTTTTGGTTTGATTATCAAAAAAAAAAAAATTATGCCCATGGCTTACTGAAAAAAAGGTGACCTTACCCCCCCCCCCCCCCCCCCCCCCCCAACGAAGAAAAATGTCAATTTTTCAAATTTCGAAACAAAAAAAAAAAAAAAAAATTATCCTCTTACCCTCCCCCCTCCCCCACTTATTTAGCGGCTGGCTGAGTCGTTGAGTCGTTGCGAAATTTTCGGCCCGATTTCAAAATGTTGAAAACCCCCCCCCCCCCCCCCCTTGAAAAAAAATCCTGCGTACGCCACTGCACATGACTGAACAGTTCTCATCCTCTTCTCATATGAAACCATAATCATACTGGAAGGACCACGTATGTGTCAGCATATAGCATAGTTTGCAATCGATTAGGCATCGATTAGAAATAAGGCAGTTGCAAAAATGTCATGTTGCCATACAAGTTTACAAATTGTGCCTGCTCGGTTCCATTGAGATACTTCCATCATGATTACGGTGCTTTGTTGAAGATGAGATTATAAGCTTTGTCTTTCCAATGAAAATGATTCTTTATTCTTTTCTTTCCTTAAAAAGAGCATATTGAACTAAATGTGGTAGCCATTCACTTATTTTAGACAATTGGGTTTCTGACACTTCTACTTCGGACTGTCTGAAATTGGTCATGATTGTGACTTATTTATCCTTGTTTTGGTGTCATTTAAACGAAGAGAAAATGAGCCTTCCAATGATGTACAAATTATTGTTTGATAAAATGTGGGATTCTTGAGTAATTTACCAACGAAATTGGATTTCTCTTTTTCAGGGAAACTCTGTAGTTTTAGATTCTGAAGAATTGGTATGGTATTTTTAGAGCTGTGTTTTCATTTCATGTAAAATAATTTTCTTGTAGGTCTACATTTTGTACATATTTTTCTTATTAGTTGCTGTATAGTGACTTTAACATCTTTTCAAAGGACTCCTTTGGAAATTAGTACATGTTGCCCTCTTCAGTTTACACACATCTTTTCACTGCCTTTAGTTTTGGCGTTACGTTTTTATATTTTTTTAAGCTTACTGTAATATTTTATGTGGTTTTTACATCCACTTTTTTTTATAGGTTATTATCTTCTTTCCATATTACAACTTCTTGAAATCTCCTTATCCTGCCTTTCTCTTTGTTTTTTACCACTCAATCACTTACCGTCGTTCTCTCTCACTTATTACCTACATCCTCTCCCATTCGCTTCCCTTCTATCACTTCTTATGACTTCTTCTTGTACATCCCACCTTCTATTCCTGTCAGTTTCTCCCTCTAATTCACTTCTCAAGGTCAAGTCATTTGAATTTAACTTTCTTGCATATTGATGTACATGTGTGCTTTAATTTGTTGTTAGTATTTTTCATTCGGCTGTAAGTTCTACATTTCGATTTGCTTATTATGTATATTTTGGATAATACTTTTGTATATTTAATTTTTATATTTTTTTATCCAGCTTACGGACAGCCCTTTCTTTTACTGAAGAGGCAACCCTGTTTAAATAAAACTGACATAAATAAATAGTAGTGGTATATTCACACTCTAAACATGCTGAATGTAAAGACAAAGTGTATAGCACTAGTGGTAAATAATTTACATTAACCGATGTCAGTACTTAATATGAAAGTGAATGTTTCGGATAATACTTTTGCATATATTTGTTGGTATTGTTTTAATCCAGGGCCCTCCGGGACATGGCTCTGAACGACGCTACATGGTTTATCAAAACCGATTAAATCCAATATCTCACTCTATGTATTTGTGTATATATATATATATATATATATATATATATATATATATATATAAATATATACAGTGAAAGGTTGCATATTGCATTTTGATGCCTGTATCATATAGCAGCAGAATAATAATAATCTAGTGCTTTATTCATACTGTATTGTTTGTTATGATTTATTCATATATGAAAATTTCATGTAATATACACTTAAAATAAACATCTAGTGTGCAGAGTTCATTTCAAAAGTCTAAAGCTTTTGGTCTAGTATATTCTGTAATATTAGCTGTATTATGTGCCATAATTGGAGAACAAAATTAGTAGATAAATGTACATGAATTATGAAGAAAGAAAGATATTGTTTTAGTTGTATTAGCGCTATACAGGGTGACCCTGAAAAAAGGAAACCCAGTTCATTGGTAAATAACTTAATATAGGATTTCTCGGTCACTTTCGTAAGCTTTTCATTCGTTTTGATACAAAGTTCATTCAAATTCGGGAAATAAAACTGCCGGCGTGTAAATTTCATTCAAAATAACAATTTTTTCAATTGATTTACTTATTCGGTCAATGGATTTAGCACTTGTTTCAATCAATTTAACAATCGCTTACAAATGCGCAGTTTGCATTCAATTTCGTCAACCATGGCAAATCGGACGTCCGTACCATTCAATTTCACTTTGGGTCATTCTAAATAACAAAGTTTTCATTCATATTCGCATATCTTTACAAACCTATGGTTTACATGGTATATGCACATGTTTCTCATCTAAATTAAACAAATGAGTAATATATAACACGCCTATATGTCTTGCCCGTCAACATGTAGAGGGTTAAGCAACTCTAGATATAAGATTGGACATCATCTTATTGATGTTCTCATCACGGACTTTATCGTACTCGGTCATCTTTTGGAAGTGATATTACGTAGACGAACATGATAATGTCATGCATGATTTAATTATGATCATTACAATATATATAACCAAAACAAGATTTCAGATTGTATACGTGTATTCTTTAGTTCATGTCCACATGACAATGAGTTATTGAGATGTGCGCGCAGTGAGAAAACAATGTATCAAACTCATTAATGATTGTGGAGCGTGATCTAGATTGTAATTGAGATGGTGATTACGATTGTGACTGAGATGGTAATTGTGACTGTGATCACGATCGTGATTGTGATTCAGTGTGATGGTGATTCAGATTTTGATGTGATTATAATTGTGATTGAACTGATACTCATAGATTGTTCTTAACATTTTCAATACAGACTAAATATAATTAACACAAATATAAATGGCTTCAAAGAGATTACGAACATCGAATAAATTATCAAAAACAAAACCAAACAAAACATTAGAAATAAATAAATGTATAGAGCATTGATACCCCCCACACCATTATGGTACGCCACTCCAATAAATACAACCGTAGTCTGTAAACAAACACTTTGCTTGCACTTATATAATTGCATATTCATAAACAGACACTCTTGCTTAGTTCCATGCTAATTCTATATTGATGTGGCTAGGTTTTTATCTACTTAACACATGATCGTTTAGTTGCTAAATAGTGATGATTTAGTGGGTATTATATACACTCATAGTGAGGACAATAACATGTTTGTTGATTACCAACCCATACAATTTGAAATGGATTTAGCATGGAACTAAGCTTGCGGGGTTCTATATGATCATACTGGGTAAGATTTACATGTTTAATTTGTCTGCAAAACGTGTGAAACTGTATGCAAAGAAACGAATTTGAATTGACGGAAGACGCTATTACGTAATCGCGAATCGTCTCGCTTTAAATTGAATGAACATTTTACGAAAAAGAAACACGTTTTAATTCGAATGAAAATGAAATGTTTTTGAATGACCGTTTTAGGAATTTAAATGCTAAAAAACGAATTTGAACGAAAAATAACAGCTGCGGTGACAGAATCGGCGAAATTGAATGAACATAAAATGAATTTGTGTGGCCAACTTACGAAAGTGACCGAGAAATCCTATACTTTCAAATTATTCCTTGGTAAATGTATATACAATGGGAGGGTTCGATGTATGATCTTTCATATGGCACCAAAATCATGATCAAGAAAGCATGCATGGTCACGATTGCGACTTCTTTATCATGGTTATGGTGTCATATGAAAAAAGAGGAAATGATCTTTACAATGGCGTACAAATTATAAAAAACACAATTTGATATACTTGAGTAATTTACCAATAAAATAGGGTTTCCTTTTTTCAGGGGTACTCTGTAGTGTCAAATTCTGAAGAATTGGTATGGTGTTTTAGAGCTGTGTATCCATTTCATGTGCAATAATATCCTTGTACTAGGTCTATATTTTATTTAACATTTGCGTATTATTTTTTGTGTATTGTAGTGGTTTATTCGTAGAAAGCTAAAATTGCTGAATGTAAATACAAAATCTATTGCACTTTTGGCAAATATATTAGATTAACTCATGTTACTGTTAAAATCACTGATCAGAGGTGTCAACATGCAAAGAGAGGAGGGGGGGGGGGGGAGACACTAAAAATTGCCGACTTATATACTATTCAAATAGCTATCATTATGTTTAAGTAT